AAGCCGCTTCTCTCGGCCCATTAGGTTAGTTTCTGCTTCAAACACGAGCTGATGGGATGCTGGATGAGACCATCGTTGTGTTGAAGTCGTGCTAAAAGGAGCTAGCCCATCAGCACAGCTCCGAAAGGCCAAATTAGCATCTCAATGCTAAACATGTAGCAGCTAACGCTACTGTCAGTGTGCACAGTTCTGGAGACACCTCTAGATTGTGTCAAATACAGCAACAAAAAGTAACATTGATGTAAAAATAATTAAAAATAAAAGGAAATTAAAACGTTTGAAGAAATTTGTACTAAGCCCCCTTAACTTTGGTGACACTCAATAAAATCTAGTACCAGGAGAAATAACCGCTGCAGTTTGCAAGAAGCCAAACATGGAGTTGGAGTGATCATTTCCATCAAAATCAGAAGAATGTTTTTAAAATTTTAAGGTAAAAAGGACAAAGTGAAGAACTAAAATAGGCCAATTAAAAACCGCAAAATAACTGCAGATTCCAAGATGGACCGTTTTTTAAAAAGTCTTTTTTGTCAATGTTTTGATTTTTTTAAAATACAGAAAATAAAGTTTTCCAAAATGGCTACCTGCTAAGCTGTGATGCGTTCACTAACCTAAATTTGAGAAATTATTATATAGACTACTCATTCGCTATGTTATCTTTTACCTACATTCCAAAATGTTTTTTTCCTGCATAAAAATTTTTGCAACATAATGTAAAAAATAAATAAAAATCTTCATTTCAAACAAGTGAAGCTGCAAGAAGAAAAAACAAGACAACAAAACTAACTTAAATCAACCATCAAATGTTAAATGTTCAGCATCGCCTGAACATTTAGACAGCAGAAAACCACAAAGGACAAAACTGTTCAAGGAACTTTAGCATAAAAAAACAACAAGGTTTATTAAAAGTGTCTTCAAACGTGAACCTCAGCAATGTGGGTTATTTTTTTAAACAAACAGATTAGGACCCATTTGATGCTGGATCTGAATTCCCGTTATCTCATGAACACAGATCGTATCAAAACTACGCCGCCTGAAGGCGTCTTCATCTCTCACAGGAAGCTGGTAATGAGAGTGTGAGTGCGCACTCAAGCAAAGTTCAGTTAGATAAAATATCATTCGCCAACGTACAGTTGACCCCAAAATGCAGCTTACGCAACCGAAAGTTGGCAGAAGGAACGCTGGCGTAGACGGCAAGAAGAGCGCATTATGAGCCTCTCGGCCTGGAGGTGAACATTATCAGCCTATATATCTGATTTGTGGCTTTGCTGCTTGTAAAAATAACTCTTTATTCAAATCAGCACTTATCCACGAGCAGTCCGTAAATATTATTTTAAACTTTTACAGCCAGCGATGGAGGCGGATGGGGCAGACACTTTCTGAAGCCCAGAATTGAGCCAGAACCGTCATGAATAAAGCCGGGCCTCCAGCGCCTCGGTTTAATACTCTGTAACTGAAGTCTAAAGGTGAAGCTTTTACAAGCTTTAGGTAGAAACACAAACATATTTCAACATGCAGAAACAGTTTTGCCACTCCCCTGCTGCGTCTAAACGCATTATTATCTGCTCCCGAAACACTGCCACCAAATGAAGAAACATTTTATCTTTAAGGGGGATTTTTTCAATGAAAGATTTACATTTTGTTATTTTTTTCTACTGCTTCTAAAAACAAGTTATCCACTTAAAGAACCCATCCAGACAATTTTGGCCAAGAAGTGGTTACATCACAAACCAGCAGCCACAGTCTCTGACCTGTAACCCCAGTCTGTTCCCTAGCAACCCATGCAGAGTTCAACTAGTTGCCTAGTTGAACTCTAGGTAACTAGATGAACAAATGAGCTCCAGCACATTTGTTCATATTGTTTTACTGCAGTACAATGGCTACTGAAAAAGACAAGTGTTTTGTTGTTGACTTACAGTCTGGAAACCATTTGCTGCATTTTTGTTGATTGTGCAGGAGGCTCCATTTCTGCTTTTCAAAGATGTAAGTTTGTTTACATGAATGTAAACGTGGAGTTGGGGGGCGTGGCCAGCAGCAGCTTTTTTTGGATTTAAAGAGACAGGACCTTTCATCCTGAAAGGAGCTCAAAAGCCGACAAATCTAATTATCCAAGAAAGACTTTGTACAAAAAAAGGTTTTGAACACATTTTGTAAAGTCCACAAAGAAGCATAATAGATCACCTTTAATCTATTTCAGCCAAAGAAATAACAATAAATACACCTCTACGTACTTGAAACATTTCATAAAGTGTTTATAGGCCTTCCCAAGTTCGAGAATCCCCTCCGGTGACCAATATCTTCAACAATAATCTGCTAAAACACAACAAGACAACTCTGAAAAATTAGCTTCCAAATGGAGCCATTATTTGGTTAGCTGTGGCAGACTGCGAGGCACCTGGGAAATCTGAGCTGAGGTTAAGGGGCTGCTGCAGTCCAAGATGACTTTCTAGAGCTAATTAGCGCTGTATATTAGCAATCAAAAGAACCCCACTCTGACACACAGCAGGCAGCCAAGAAACATATTTTCCTCCATGTGTGAGACTAGCAGCAGAATGTTGATCCAGGAGATACGGGGTTACGACAGAGTCACGTCTCAGCGTCTGATGAAGGTCCGTTCCTCACAGACACGCCGGTGCCAAGAAGGGAAGACATCAGAAAATGTTTACGCTGGATACAAGCAGCAGCTCCACTCTGACCTTCTCACCATATCAAGAAGTGCTGTATGAAAACTATGGAGTCTCATCTAAACACACATGCGTCTTACTCAGAAACAAACCGTTGTTGGAATATTTCCTGGAACCACTAGGTGGCGCCAGAGTTTCAGGACAAGCCCATAATTTTTCTGCAGCAATTAAGATAAAATAAAGAGAAACCTGGTGGTTCTGCGAAAAAAATGGATCAAAACTGAGGAAGTAGAAGTGGATCAAATGCAGATATTAAAACCACAAAGTGAAATGAGTTCCTAAATACAAACAAAAGCTTTCTTTACATTGATTTATTAATTATTTATATATTTTGAGCACTTTTTATCTTCAGAGTTTTATATATTTTTAAGGAGAAAAAATAAGAAATAAAAGGGAATATTTGATAGCAGCATTGATTCTGATTAATTACTAGATTGTTCATAAAGGGAAAAATATTAAAGGTTCGATTGGACAGCAATAAACTGGATTAATTTATCTAATTTTGAAACATTAGTTACATTAAAATTGAGCAACAGTTTCAGCTTCTGCGAGCAGCTAAGGGCAGTGTGTCCGTTTAACCAGCAGGGGGCGCAACAACATCAGACAACAACGCTGTCAGGGCTTTTTTCTTTAATATCCTTCATGGGAAAATATGTTTATTTACAACCCAGATATGTTTTAATGTACTACTTTTTAACACCACTCCATTTTTTTATTGTTTTAAATCTAATAAAAAATGTTTTCAGGCCATTTCATAAGACATCTAATAGTCTATTGATAAATGTTCTGTTAAATCCAGCTGAAAACATAAGGGGAATAAACCAGTGAAATAATTTATGACTGTAGCACATCTTCCTGGGTTTGAAATTTAAAGGATGTCATCCAGAACTTTTGTCCCTTTTCTTTAAACAGAAATTAGAAAAATATATCCAAGATTTTCACGAATAAAGTACAGAATTAACATTGTGTGACAAATTATATATATACATAAATGAATCTAAAGAACCAGTCGTGTTTGAATATGTCACGTGTCAGACAGGACCAATCTGAACCGCCCACCTGTTTATGGAGCCGTCCACCCGCCGCGCCGGTTGATAAATGGTGCGCACCCTCTGATTCAGAAACAGGCAGGTAACCAGCAGCTCACCTCTTCATCGTCAGTTCGCTTCCGGAGTCCAGATTTAATTTCTGCAGCTTCTCCATTTTCAGGGACGGAGCAGCAAACTGCGGTTCCGCGACATTCAGCCTAAATCAGCGCCGCTTGCGACGAGGAACGGCAAGACTTGAGGATGAATCCAATGCGCATGCGTAATTGAAAACACCTGAAACCGCCTTGAGAGATGAATAAAGCAGCAGTGAATGAAGATAAATTTATATTTATTGGTGATACAAATGTAAAGGCAAAAGCTTATTAATTAATTTAGTAATTAGAAATAAAATTTGATTTGAAAATAAAAAATCTTTCTCAGTTTTTGTCCCGATTATGTAGCAAACTGCTGGCATTCATAAATAACATATTGTTAATTAACGGTTATTAAAGGGACACATAAAACTAAAATGGATTTTCAATCAGAAACCTTTGAGTCCATTTAAGGACAGACTGAGAATCATCCAACTATTGATTTCTAACTCAAGTTATTTTTCAAAATAACGTTTATCGTCACTTATGCTCGACATTAACTAGTCGTTTTGAACACAGACAAGTTATTGATTTTAATTAGATTAGAGATGTTCCATGTTCTTTTATTCTTTCATCTTTTGGTGGAAACTAATCTGATTTAGATAAAAACTCATTTGGGCTCATTTCTAAATTGCTCTTAAATAAACTTGTTTCTGTAACTTTCAGAGTTCATATAGAACTGAGTAATTAGTTTAGTTTTTATTATTGTTCAATTTTACTAACTAGTTTGAGTGTTACTAGCTCAGTGAGTTTGCTGATCAACTTGAAAAAACTATAAAACTAAACTTATTTTCATATTATAGATGTTTATCGTTTTTTATACTTTATCTGGGGAAGAAAGCACACATATTTGTTTTTCTATTGTTTCTGTTTTTGGTGTTGACGTGTTTTTAATCTTTTGTGGACACCGATAAACATTTTCCAAATGATCTTTATGATTTTAACAAAATAATTCAAATAAAAAAATCATAAAAACACCAAAATTTGTTGACACAACAAACATAAACAATAAAAATGATCTGTATCACCAATACTGGCTCTGCATTTACTTGGTATTGGATTCATACCAAAACTTTATGACATGTAAATTATGTAATTTTGATTTGATTTTAGCTGAGAGAATAAACAAGCAGCATCAGTGAAATAAAATGAATTTATCTGCATTGACACAGTTACACTCCATTCAGCAGAACAAAGGTAGTGTGAAACGATCGAGCATCCATACGCAGCGCTGCAGAAGTTCTGCACCGGTGAACATTCTTACTTCTAATGGTAATATTGCATCTCCCTCAATCAACACAAACAGCAAACAAGACAAGGTCATGAAATCCTGTGCAAAAAGATTGTTTTAGAAAATACAGCCTAAAGGAATGATTAGCATCTTCAAATCATCCAACAGTTGATTAAATTAAAAATATCCCCTTAAAAGAGAGCACCAGCCTTTCACTTCATGGCCAAGTAAACAGGAAGAGCTGCAAAAAACAACGCGCCACATGCACCCTGAATACAACCCCACAGCCGCCAAACGCACCAACAACCAAAAACGGAAAACAGAGCATGAAGAAAACTCTTCAGCATGAGCCGCCGCCACCATCAGCACAGCAGAAACAGAAAACTCACCAAGTAACTTCAGTTAACTTAGGACACTTGGGATAAGACTAGAATGACTTACATGTAACTTCTCAGCAAGATATAAGAGCTTGTTTGAATTCTTTAATATTGGTGAAAAAGAACTAGTTCCACTGGTATTTCACTTATAACATGGAAAAATGTCTTGTTATAAGTGAAATAATCTGGCAATTCTTGCTGAAACATTTCTTGTAAGTTATTTTTGTCCTATTTTAAGTATATCAAGATATTTGCACTTGAATCTAGACAAAAATATTTGTTGAGATTTTGTGTTTTTCCAGTGAGCTGCACTCATTTCTTCTCGCAGTATGTCTTGTACTTGTTGCAGGCCTTCTGCAGATCTGTAATGAAGCCTGGGACTCCACTCTAGAAGAAGTAAAGAAACAAAAACACACACATTAGTCCAGTAGATGAGCCAAAAAGACCCATATAGAAGGGGAACCAATGACTACAAAAACCCAGGAGAACCATAAAGCCAGGGGAGAAATGAAGAGTCCCAGAGTGTCTGCAGGAAACACCGAATGTCTGCACATGCAGACAGCTGCAGAGATGTGGGAAGTGCTTTACTTTCATTTATAAAATCCCAGAAAAATGCTTTAATTAAAGTAACTGAAGAGAAAAACAAAACGAAACACGCCTGGTGAGTCGTCTCCCAAAACAACCTGTCTCATTTTGCAGGTTTTTAAAGTAGCATAATTTCTGCACTTTGTTTAGACCATTTTGAACATGACTGCCCTCACCTTCGCTGCCCAGTTCACCAGCCAGGCCGGGATCATACCGCCGGGATTATCAAAGTAGTTCATGAACACTGAAACACAGCACAGGATTAGTCCTCACATGAGGGTTTCAACTGCTCACAACAAGCTGCTCACATTAAGAAAAGAAATTTAACTCTCCAACAGTCAGAAGGTGGTTTCCGGTGACACTAGTGGAGGTATTGATCTCTCTCTTGGAGCCAAGATGTTGCGCTTTACAGCTGATATCAGGTTATTACGGTAATTTCTCCTCTGCCGTAGCAGGAAGTGAAATTAATCTGAGGGGTATTCTCTTAATAGACGGTAAATTATAAAAATAACTTCCTAGATATTGAAAGTTCCAGTTGTTATGGATAAATGGGCAAATATATATTTACTCACTGGACATTAAAAGAATTGTGTACAATTAAAAAAAGGAAAAATATCCAGGTGGAGACGTTAAATGTAGGAGATAAGGGATTAAATATTAGTGGCCCTAGTAACAAGCCTTGTGGAACACCAGAAATAGTTTTTGTTTTTGATTTTCTTTCTTGTGGAACAGATTTGATTAAATTTAAGTGGCCAGAGAAAGCACCCTGGGGGAACTCCAAAAGTAATTATTTATTTATATTTTCTTTTGTTACGTGTCCCGTTTTTTGCTCTATAATTATTCAGGTCATTAATCCAGAATCATGTTTTCATTGGCTTTGTTGTACATCAATCAGCAGTCGGTCACCTTTGGTGCCGCCGGCTCCGTCGCTCTCCATGGCGACACTCTGCTTGTAGTCGCTCACCCTCAGAGCGCTGCTCTTCTCTGGACACGCCGCCTCCGCCGAGCTTCTGGCCAGGATCACAAAGATCTTTCTGCCGTTTATGTCCAGGTCTCTCCGCTCCCTCACATAAACGTACTGAGGTTGGAGCAGTCAGGGAACATGGACGTCAAGATCGCATGAAATTATCATTACTATAAAGTAACGAATAAAAATGGAAAGTAGGTCGTCTGTTTGCTTTTGAGAACTAAAGGATACATCCCTGTTTTTCAGAGGAAACGGATATTTCACTTCCCAGTAAATCACCGTTTGTCCATTGAAATCCTTCTCATAGAGCTCTGAGGAAACAAAAATCACAAAAATCCCATAAAGCAGCACTTAGACCTGCAATTTCCCAGCAGCAGATTAATTTCTCTTTTTCTCAGGAACATTTTGCTTCCATTTATTTGAATATTTTTATTGAATTTTCAGCAAAATAAATCCCCAACCAATACATTCAAATCCACACATCCATTGCATAGATACAGAAACAAAGCAAAAGAAAAGAAATACCTTAAGTCAACTTTATGCCGAATTGACTGGGAGTCTCTAAATATGGCACAAGAATGGTTTCCACATTTTGTAAAATGCTAAGAACTGCTTCTTAGTATTAATCACTTAATACTAAGAAGCAGTTTTCGTTGAGTAATTTGCAATTTTTCCGTTATTTTTTGCAATTTGTGGTTTAAAAAAAGCAACATCCTCAAATATTTGTCGAACGTTCCGAACATTCGGCCTTTCTCTTGAGTTTCACTTCCCAAAATGACCCAAATATTCAGATCCAGCTGAATCTCCCTTTTAGTCATGGAGGCTCAAATAAACACAGCTGCTTATTTTACAGACATATCTTTGACCTTCTAATGGCATTTACTGCAACACACAAATCAAGACACGCGTATTTAAAACAAAACTACAACAAGGAATGCATAGACTTTAAAAGCGTTTTCTAAAAGCTGTTAAACGAGAAAGTAGAAAACAAAACTAATCTAATTATTTCTAATATTTCAAACGATAAGCAGCAGTTAGTTGTGCAGAAACTGGAAGGAATGGAGGGTTTTGGATGCAATCTGAGACATTCACTGTGTCCTCTGTGGCTGAAACCATTAATAGGATTAATGATGATGAATTATAATAAATCGATTATTCAAACAATTGTAAACTAATTTAGTAGCCAATTAATTGTTAAATTGAATATTTAGACTCAAAAAAGAACAACAGTTACTACATTGTTTATTTGCAACTTCTGATGCATTTCTAATTAGAGATGCACAGATCCTATTTTAATATCTGTATCAGTCCATTTTTGACCAAGCTTGTAAAGATTGGTGCATTTAATGAGCTGTAGTGGTGCAGAGTTATCAAATAAATCTGTAATTCAGTTAGTTTATGTCTGTGCTTTAACACATGTTAAGGAAACATGTTTTCTTTCAATATGTGTTTAAAGAAAACACTTTATATTCAGTTCAGAACTCTTTTTCTGTATTGGATTGGCATCAGCTGATATTAAACCTCAGGTATCGGAAGTAAAAAAGTGGATTGGTGTTTTCCTAAAAGGCTTTTATGAAAAATTTACGGAATACAGCTTTTTTTTTTTAGCTGATTAATCACCAGAATAATCGATAACTAAAATAACTGACCCAGTTTCGGTATCTGATGTGTTTCTACCCATTTTAACCAGTTTCCCTCATCACTGGTCTGCATCTCCACCAAACTACATCCACACTGAACCATTCCTTCCTTTCTGGATGGAACCGGCAGCAAACACGTTACCTGCTTGGTGCTGCGATGTGCATGAAACCCAAAGGAGAAATCAGAGTTTTTCCAAAGATACTCTAAAATAACAAAGGCGTTTCTGAGAGACAACAGGTGTGAACGTGTCTTTTTACCTTTCACATAACTGTCCCATTGTTTCCGATACATCAGGTCCATGTAGACGTCTGCGCAGAGTTCCGGCCTGCAGCTGTTCAGCCCTCCATAGACTTTGTACTCATAAAGTCCAGTTTCCTGCAATCAGCAAAAGGAAGGTTTGTCTTCACTCTTTTTTCTCCCACAGCGGCAGAGATGTTGGATTTACTTCAACAGGTTTTAGTAAACATTCCTATAGCATAAGCAATACTGCCCCATTAATAGAATTGGGCCTCTGTCTCTTTAAAAACTCCTGCTCTTTCTGAAACTCTGCCTTCAGGAAGTTATTGTATCTGTTAACCACAGTGTTGCACTGAGAAGCAGCTCATGTAATGAGCTCAGCAGATCCCTGATGTTTGCTAGTTGCTGCAGGCTAGTCTGAAGGAGCTGAGAGGCCTGTTTGAAGTTCACACAGGTGTTTGGGACAGCTGAATGGTTGCCTTGGGAGATTAAAGCAACACTCCAAACATGTTTTTTATGAGGGGATGACATTATACCATAGTATAAAGCTTTAAAAAGGGTTATTTTACACCCTTTTAAAATGATTTCATTTTTCCATGCTTAGTTTCCGTTCCCTATGACGTGCTTTTCCATTTTACAAGCAACATTTCCAGTCTCCTGAAGGCTGCAGAGAACCTGCTGAGGTGGTTTCTGAGCAAACCGTCGCTCAGTTCCGGATTTTTCCGCCTCTGGCCGCCAGGACGTCCCAGATGAAATGTTATTAATAAGACAAAATAAAACGAATAATTAAAATCTGTTTACGTTTCAAGAGGCCGGGGCTGAGCGGCGTTCATACGCATTAATCGCACACCTGCTGCAGGTTCTGCAGAGGTTCTGCTGAGGTTCTGCTCAGTCGGACCGACTCGGTTCTGCCTACCCGGTCGTACAGCCGGTGGATCTGGACCCCCATCGTCTCGGTGAAGAGTTCCCATCCGTCCAGCTGCGGCTTGTCCAGCTCCTGCCAGGCTGTCTGGAAATCCTCATCCCCGAACTGCAGCGACATGACGGCGGCCGCCAGCGGACCGAGCTGCCTGGCCGGACACGAACCGCGACTTCCGCTCAGAAATACGGAAATAAAAGAAAACGGTAAAAGTTTGGATGGTAAAAAGTGCTGGTCAAATGATCAATCATTTCATATTTAAAAATGACGTCATCAGACGAATCAAAATACAGTGGAAGGTTTGGAGTTTTAAGAACAAAATGACAATAATTCATATAAATAAATACAAAAATAAATAACATCAGTTCCTTTCAATATAAAACTCATAAAACTAACAAAAGCTGGAGGTGTGTTTCTGAATCTGGTGAATTAATGGTTAAAACATTTTTGTTTTTTGTTCAGTGGGGAGAAAATCAAGAAATTTTACTCAAGTAAGAGTTGAAATACATTACAATAAAATTATTCAAGCGAAAATGAAACGTACAGTATAGTAGAGATACTCCTACATGTAGATTTTTTCAACGAATTTTTTTAACTGAAATTCAGTAAATGTAACTTCTTACTGCCGAACTCTGGACACTATGATTTATTTTGTTTTTTATTTATTCAGCATTTTACACAAGGTGAATATCAACAAATTAAACACAACAATGTAGTGATTAAGCAGAATAATATTTTTCTAAAGTAAAATGAAGTTAAAATTAGAAAATTAGTAAATAAGAATAATTTATATCCATGTTTTGAAAAGTCTGCTTACATGCTCTATAAAAGACAAATAAATAAATAATATTAACAATAATAATCTTTGCGATAGAATCTGTGTCCCGCATCCTAGTATTAGGGAAAGTTGAGTGGAAGGAAGAAATGTTGTAAAACCAAACAGTTCTGAACAGTGTGTCCAGAAATCTAACTAAACTTAACTTAATTTACTTGGACAAACTTAATTTGATTTGTCGTAAAAATGTATCAACTTTTTTTAAAGTCGGTTTTTCTAAACAACTTAAAGGTGCAGTCATTTTAAACTTCTGTACTTTATTAATGTGATAAAAAAAAATAGCTAACCTAAAACATCAGATTTAAATTCAAAATGTTCGACTTTCAAATCGAACTGATATAACAAAATCAGATCCATTTTTCATTTGCATTTTGGCTCTTAGATATGTCTGTAATTTATCTTATTTTGAAAAGCTCAACCGGAAGTATCCATTTTTCCCTGATCACCGTGAACCTGACGCAGTCGTTGATACTTGACCCGGTCCGCCCGCGGTGAGGATGGCAGTCCGGCTTCGTTACTCTGGACCAGAGGAGAGTCGGACTGCAGCCGGAACCGAACCGAACCGAAACAGACAGAATACCTTAGGAACCACTTTGCTTCAGAAACAAGCGACTTTTACTGCATCGGCTCGGAAACCTGGTGCTGGAAAAACTCATGAGGTAACAAATACTTTCATTTTTTCTAATTTCAACTAATTTAATTAATCAGCAGATTTAATTCCACGTTTCTGGATTTAACCTGAATATAATCTGGCTTGATGGATTTATTTAGATATTTCTGAATATTATCTATTTATTTGGAAACCTTAAGTTGCTTTTATTGTGAATTGTCGCTGTGTAAATAAAGAAAGCTGAATTTGTAAGTGAATCTATGGGATAATAAAGGTTTAACCGATTTCAGGATCCTTGTTGCTACATTATTGCAGCCCGATTTAATCTTCAGAAACTTTCCTTTTTGATTCCTTTAATTTTAGCTTGAATTGCAACAAATCACACTGAATAATTAACTTTACAAATATTAAATGTAAACGTTTGGTTTTCACTTTTGCAGCAAACTAAACCAGCAGCAGCAGTTTCATTATATAAAAGCACAATTTTCCTCTTTGTTCCTCAAATAAGTGAAATAACATACCAGTCTGGAGAGTTTTAGAGGATTTTATTTTATTTTTTTACTGAAGTTTTTAATGTTTCTATATGCATAAATTGGTATAATCTCTTTAAGATCTGAAAAATAAACATGGTCCATTCTGCACAACATTCCCAACAGTCATTAAAAATAGTTTTTAATATCTCATCTTTTCAATGAATGCAACTTGTTGCAGTTTTGATATTTCTAGAAATTGAGAACACCAAGAACATTCATTTATTGTTTACAACATTGTAGCAAACAAGAAATAAACCTGTGCAACATTTTACAAGTGTAAAAATCTTAAGTTTTCAGTTATTTGATCGAAGAACTTCATCCCCTCATGACGCAGGAAGAAAGTTGATTTTGTTTCTGCTGAACTATTTGTTGATTTTGGCTGAAAGACCAAATAGCGAAACACTTTTAAGTTTCTTCCACCTCCAGAGTTTTATTTTGAAAACGTTCTTGTGTTTGTGATGATCGGTTAGAAATGAGTTGTGCTGATATCCATCAAAAATGTCAAATTTTAACTGTTCTGTTTACAGCATTTTCAATCAGGTCATACATCGGTTTTTTGAGGAAGTGATATTGGTGTGTGATTTCAGACCTGAGCCTTCAGAGACAAATAAAGACAGTTTCAAATTCAGCCTTTTATCACCTGAAGAATATTTCTAGGACTACAGAAATAATGTCCTGGCAAGATAAAGTGGATCACGTGTTTATCTTCAGTTGCATTGATTGCTGCAGCAGCTGATCCAGAACGCTGCTGCTGGAGTTCTGACTAAAACCAGAACTTTAAAATACTGGTAGTTTATGAGTCACCGAACAGCTTAGCTGTTAAAGATCTGCTGTTGTTGTATCCACCTTTCTGATCTCTCAGGTCTTGTGCTCTGGATCTCCAGAACCAGAACCAAACAAGGAGAAGCAGAATTCAGCTTCTACGCACCACAAATCTGGAACAAACTTCTGGAAAACTGCAAAACAGCCGAAACACTGACAACTGGCCTTTCATTAACAACTGGCATTATCAGTTATTGATCAATTATCAATTATTGATTTATCGAATGAACTGAAAACTGTTGATGAAACAGGAAAGGTCGTGTCACCAGTTTGGCAATGCTTATATTGTTTGTCAGTCTAAGAGGACATATGTTGGGGATTTGATCAGAAAATAATCACAGACTGTTGACACTTGACTTTAACTAGGACAAAATGTGTTGTGAATCTCTCTGGACACTCTCTGGTTCTGGGTTGTTTTACTTTAAGAGACATGAACAAATTAAGTCATTACTGATTTTCTGTTCCCTCTGTGTCCCTCCCTCTTCACGGGATTCTTGATACTAACAAACAGAAATCTGTCGCTTCGTTTAGACAAAAATCAAACATTTTATCCACATGCTGGAATGTTAAACGTGGAGGAACTTCAACTTTAACCCAAAGACTGACGCTGAGGTCCAGTATCAGCACTGACAAAACAAACCTCCAGGAAATCTTCCTACATGTAGTGACTGTTCTGGGATAAGAAAGATGGACTCCAGCAGCATCAGGCCGTGATGAAGCAACTTGTTTGTCCCTCAGCGTCTGAATCCCGGCTTCGCGTTGGGAAAACACGCAGGCGGGAGAAAGGAGGGGACGGTTGTGAAACTGCCAGTGATTTCAGAGCTTCTTGCGTTTCAGCGAGAGCTCCGTATCCCGCGCTCTCCAGGGAATGTCTCAGCTCATGTCGGGCTGAGCGGATCTGCGTCATTCTCCCCTGACCGGGCCGAGAGGCGGCCCGGATTGTGCAAAGAGGTTACATTGGTTTATTGAAGCAGCGTGTGGCGGTCGGACTGAGCTGGCGAATTGTGAAATGCGATGTGGAAATCAAATCAGAAACATCTGCTTTGGACTCGTTTCTTCTGCGTTGAGCAACTAAAGTTGACCTTTTGACACGTGCTAAAACAATTTATCCAATTAACCATGATTACAGAAATAATCATCGTCTAAGTTAATAATTGTTACCTGCGCACACAGACCAAATAATTTCAATTCAAGCACTTTTGCTATCTATTTAATATTCAAAAATATAAACATATTAATACACAGTATTTGTTTTAGCTGCAGATGCATCTTTTGGTGATGATCAAGAATACACAAAATAAATGCTGCTATTGCAGGCAATAGCATTTTTATTTTCTTATTTTGAAAAGTAATTGAATTATGTTTCTTATTTACATCTTTTAATATATTTCTAATGTGTAAAAACTAAAATAAGCTAAATGGAAATCCTGCAGAACATGCCAATTTTTTAGCCAATTAATCATAAGAAAAGCTGATAGAATCATCAATCGCTGCAATTATCATTCGTATGCATGATATCACCTGCATGTGGGTGCTGTGCTAGAGGGGGCGCCAAAACAAAGGCATAAAAATCACGTTTATCTGTTTGTGTATTTGAAAATGATTCACATCAGACCTGTTTAGTTCACTTTAATTGAACTGCAGTTCATTTGTTTTGAAAGTCCAGCTGTTCTGGTGATGTGGGAGTAACACTCAAACTCTGATGCAGACCAAAATAGAAAACTCTGGTCCGCCTACAAACCTCGGTCTGAGTTTGGTTGAAGTGAACTCTGGTTTGGTTCGAATGCATATGTGAAGGTCAAGCAGACCGGAGACTGCTCCTGATATTATTTTGCATTGATCATAACTCTGCTGGTTTGCTTACTGGTTGGTTTGTCTCTCCTCAGACTGGGAGCCCCAGAGCGCCGCAGTGAGGAGCCAACTGTAGTCGGCGATGCCAGACGAACTCAATAAGGACGCAATGAAGACGCCAGCGACTTCTGAGAAGCCCAAAGCCACCGAGCAACCACCAGTCGCCATGACGGCATTGAACATCCCTCTGGTTAACGAGGTCCAGCTGACGGCAGCCACCGGCGGCGCAGAGCTCTCCTGCTACCGCTGCACCGTCCCGTTCGGTGTGGTGGTCCTCATCGCCGGCATCGTGGTCACTGCCGTGGCGTACAGCTTCAACTCCCACGGATCCACCATCTCCTACTTCGGGTTGGTTCTGCTGTCGGCCGGGCTGGTGCTGCTGGCGTCCAGCGCCGTCTGCTGGAAGGTGCGGCTGGAGCGGAAGAAGGAGAGGCGGCGGGAGAGTCAGACCGCCCTGGTCGTCACCCGGAGGAGCATTTTCACATGAACCCGGCAAACTCTCTGGGACGTAATCAGGCGTCATCGTAGCGTTTCCGACCTGCAAAAGCTCCGACGCTGCGGGCTTTGAAGACACTGGCAGGGGTTTATCTGTCAAACGGACAACGAGCATCTGGAGTGCTGGGAACGCAGTTAGGAGGAACAAATCCCAATTAAACTGAATTACCACTGTGCACAGCGGTGGAGAGGAAGTCCTGCATTAATCCGCTGCAGCATGTGGCGGCTGATTGCAACAGGAAGGATTGTGGGAAAAGAAAAAATCAGCCCAGGATGGAGGACAGAAACAGGGAAATCCAGAATCACAGTCATATACATGATATTCTGGAGAAAACTATTTAACCTTTAATGTCTTTTTCCTCAAGAACTTTAATCCTCCATGTCGTTTTTGATAATAAACTTTATGTAGCAAAGTTTGAACTTATCTTCATGGTCTACTATGTAAACTCTTGAAGTTATTGCATGTATAACGAGATGAGTTTCAATAAAGCCACTGATTCTCCAACTTGGTGCAGATTTCAGAAACGAGAGAAATAATAATGTTATGGAATATTTCTTTGCTTTCTGGTTGTTTTCTGATGGAAATCAGTAATAAAATTTACCTAAAAAGGTAAAATGATACAGTTCAAACATAAATGTCACCATTTGATGAGATGTACTTTGATAGGTTATAAAAAATTATATACAAGACAATAATAATATATATATATATATCACTACAAATTGCTTTCTAAGTGAAATAATCTGCCAATTGTACAAATACTTTTTCGTCAATATCAGTAAATTGTTCACTTAAAAAAGCTCCAAAATCTTTCTGAAAAGTTACTTGTAAGTCAGTTTTGTTTGATATTTACTCTAGAAACCGGAATAACAATTCTTGGTAAGATTTTGTGTTTTTGCAGTTTTGCTTTGTATTTTGCATAACACTCTTAGCTGATTCATTGTTTTCCCTTTGCAGAAGTTTTTTACTTTATTTTGTCTCCAACACTGAAAGGAAGCTAAACTCTGCAGTTTGACCCTATTGGTTTTAAAATAGCCCGGACAGGGAAGCATATTTATAGGCAGCATTTGCGTTGCTATGCATCCGAGTGACACCAGACACTACAACTAAAAGGTTTCCTTGCGTCAGAGGAGACCCTACAACACGCCGTGTCACTTGTGGGAGCTCACCACCCCTCCGGCGCGCGGATCACTAACACATTTATGGGACACGCGATGCTTGGAGGGCGTCTGCTGCAGCCCGAAGCTGGAAAAGTGGAGAGACTTGATATGAGGTTTGACAGCTGCTCGCCGTCAGCGTCTTCAGCCTCATTACGCGGGCTCCTGCAGGGTCTGCGTGCGTCACTTTTTGTGCCTCGCATGGTTGTCGTTCCAGCCGCGCTGCCGGCTGCAGGAGTTCATCAATAAACAGGAGGGAATCTGCAGGAGGAGGATGTTCACTTAGTAATGAAGCGGAGCAAAGGGTTTTCACTTTGGGTCACATTAGGAGCACAAATGTTCAATAATACCTTCGGTTGTGCCAGAATGCATGGATAAACCAGATAAAGCACATGTTTCAAACTCGAGGTCCGTGGGCCAAATGCGGCCCGTCATTGCTGTTTATGTGGCCCTCTAGATTCTAGACTAAACAATGTGTGTTTAAATATTATGCAGCTTTTATCTGTTTACTGCCAAATCGTGTCAATCAGTCCCGCCAGTTTCTTCACAAGTATTGTGGAAATTTATGTAAAATGAACAAATCCCCAAAATTTTTTAGCTAATGATTGGGAGTTTATTATAGATTTTTCTCCAAAACTGTGAAAAAATTTCTTACTTGTACTAAACAGCTTCCTCAGCTTGAATTGATGTCAGATTATAGTCCATAAACTTTAGAGCAAGTCATACAAAGTTGCATTTACCATTATAAATAAGCACAAATATCAGTAATATTTCCAAATTAGTAACGCAAACACCTTGATGCAGCCTGAAGAGGTGAAAAAATGAAAACAATTTAACACGTTACGGTAATCTAATGACCAAAATAGTTCGTTTTTTTTTTTTTTAAAGTGTAATAGAGAAAATGATGAAGAGATTTCTAGTAGTTTGAGATTGTTTATCATATAATACCTAATTTTATCACATGTTCATGAATTTTACAGATAAGAAGAAGTGGCAGGGCTTCTCGTGATTTTGCAAATCTGCAATTGAAACACTTTTTGGCACGTCTTCTTTTAGTCATCAGGTTCTTGATCAATTTTCCATTCCACTTTTACAAAACCAATTTTGAAAGTCCAAAGAAAAAGTTTTTCTTTTTTTCAAAATTGCTGTGTTTCTATGAAGCAAAATTATTTTTGTCAAATTGTGTGATTATATGGTCAGTGGAAATATAGTTACTGACAAAGTTTTGCACACATTTGTAATAAAAACTGCAACTAGATGTTCTGCAGACGATTATGCTAATAAACTTTTCACCAATTCAAGAATGTTTTTGGATATAAATTAACATTTACTTTCAGTCTGCCTCCATTTTTCAACCAGTAATTCTATTGTTGAAATTTGACAGAATTATGATTATAACAAAGCCAGCAGAACGCAGAAAAACTGTAAAACACACATTCAAGTCTTCAGCTTTTAACCTTTTTTCTATAAAATCAGCATCACAAAAAAATAAAAATAAAAAAATAAACGCTGACTGCACAAAGACAGATGCACACCCAGCGGAAAATATGAGTCTACAAGGACTGAAACTGACAAGTTTCTCCAAACATATAAATAAAACATAAATATCACACTTCAGGGTTGCATAGAACCTTTATCTTCAGTGCAGAAACGGCAAACAGCTGCATGAAACTCCAGCCTGCAGCACAGCCGACTGCACATTGCTGAAATTCTCCACAATTAAACATAATGCGCTGAGCTCCTGCAGCCTTCTTTCCAGTGAAACAGCTGTGCAGTCTGGAGATAAAGCGGGTCAAACGGACCTGATCCGACGGCTCCCCAACCAGCTGGCAGGACTGGCGTAATCCAGACAACGGTCTGGTTGATAAAGGTTCTGACTGAACTGATCCACAAACGCTCGCCGAAATCTAGACGATAAACAACGGAGACATTCAGGATCATTTTAGGTTTGACTTCCTGCAACCAGCAGAAAATTACTTCACTTTGAACTTTCAACTATTTGGCATTTGTCCAATTTCTGGTGGAAATATTTTCATCCTCTTGAATTAAGACCAAAACTAACTTAAAATGAACTTTTCAGCAAGATATAGAAGCTATGTCTGTTATTCCTCAGTAATGATTGAAAGTTGTTTCATTTATAACGAGACATTTTTCCAGGTTACAAGTGAAAAAACCTACCAATGAAAATAGTACTTCTTCCTCAATTGTATGTAAATTAACTAATTAACTAAATTGTAAATGTACTAAAACGAGCTCCTATATCGAGCTGAAAAGTTGCTTCTGTGTTAGTTTTCTCTTATTTGATATTTACACTAGAAACTAAAGCAGAAATTCTTGGTAAGGTTTTGTGTTTTTGCAGTGCAGCTGCTGTTGATGTTTTCCATGTTTGGGGTGATAACATTCAACCCCAAGACACCGGAAAAGTCGATTCACATAAGATTCCCTTTTAAAATGTTCCAAGATTGATTTAAAAACACACAAAACAAATGTCTTGTCAGTCTCCATTTTGCAGCTATGCAGTTAATAAAAACATTCTTAGTGTTTGAAATGATCTAATTGTTTATTAAATCGGATCTTTGATTTCATTGGTTCGTTTGGTGATGTGGACCAAAAAGTGAACTCTGATAGAGTTCAAATCCAGAGACGACCTCAAAAGCAGGAATTTTACAACAGCGCAGGGCATTCTGGGTAAATTCAACCAAAACAAACATGCTATTGCAGTGCTAGCTAGCTGGCTAGCAGTGATCTTTTACCAAGCACAAAAGAGAAAGCCTACAATCATTCAAATCTTATGTCTCTGTCTTCGTTTATTTTTGCTCTCAGTGTCTTCTCCAGAAGTTTTTGTGTCGCTTCCTTCAGCAGTTTTGGTGCAGCGCCCCCACAGGTGAGGAGGGGAACAGGTTTTTTAAAGAAGTTTGGTTTGTTTGATTCAGTGCAGCGTGAAAGTGAATCACAGCAGCAACAAATGTTGCAATTTTGATCCCCAGTACAACCAAAGCTACAGGTGTAAACCCTGAAAAGACATTTTTGTTATCATTTTAAAACTTTTTTCTATAAAAATATTTTCCAGATGAATGCATGCCTTCAGTTTTAGTGTTGAAGTGCGTTCGTTAGGCTCTTAATTATGAGCCATCTCACAGCATCTGCTGCATTTCCCTCATCTGAACTCTGATTTGACACGACGCCGCCCAGCGAGAGGAAGTCCAGAATCAGAGGAGGCCATAAAATTGAGCCAAACTGAGTCTTTAAACTCTCCTCATGTCACGCAGCAGCTCAACTCCTTCCTGCAGAGAGGGGTGTGTCCGCCCCGCCAGCCTTTGGTTTGTTTGGATTGAAGCAGAGATTTTATGAACTGAAGAGTCTGAGGCGGGGAGAGAAAACTTCTGCTGCAAACTGAGTAACGAGATTTTGCCAAGATGGAGGACAGTCAAAAGCTTGAGTGGATCTTTGTTCTAGTTTTTCTGAAACATTATGTGCACTCTGAGAAGCAGAGCAGGACTCACACACTTTCTGATCCTGTCATGTGCTGCCAGAGGTTCCTGGAGTGGCTGCTGTGTTGGTTGTTCAAAGTCCCAGAGGTTCTGGTAAAACCCTCGTTTCACCACATCATAAAGACAAAGCGCTTCCAGACTGTTTCCTCCCTTTTTAATGATGAGTCCCACTTCAACAAGACAACTGTCACAAATTTAAATCCTCTTTGTTTCACTCGACAAAGGCTTCAACCAAACCGAACAAAACTTCTCAGAGATTTGCAGCAGACAACTTTGAAAATCATTAAATAGATTATAAAAACATGAGAGAAAGGAAATCTTGTAAAGTGAATACAAGACTGCAAAAACACAAGAGACACACAGTCTAGACTTCAAGGCAAATATCTAGTTCCTCTGAAAGATTATTTCTCTTCTAACATGGGACGATGTAAGTGGAAATAAAAACTAGTTGATCTAGTTACTTTTTAACTAGACTTTATCTATATTCAATAAGTATTCACTCAAAACAAGATCATTTACTTCTGTCCAAGAAATTACTCCAGTAAGAGTTAAAAAAGTATTTGGTGCAAAGTAACTCAAACGATCAATCATTTAATATTTAAAAGTTGTAAAATGTAAAGTTAAGTGGAAATTTTGGTATTTCAAGGACCAAAATGACAAAAATTTATATCATTAACAAAAGAAAATAAAGTTATGAAAAATGATTTTTCCAAATCAGTTATTTAAATGAGACACTTTAAGAAAAGTTATATTATGTCATAATATAACATAAAATGTTTTAGTTAAGAGTCATGTCAACAGTTTTCATATCTCTGTCTGGTGAATTTTTGGTGAAAACATGTTTGTTTTTCATTCAGTTAGGAGCAATAAAAGTAAAAGTATAAAGTAAAACGTACAGCATTGTAGAAATGTTCCTAAAAAGTACATTTAAAATAAAATAAATAAAAAAGACACTCAAATAATTGTAACTGAGTAAATGTAACTCTGTGACTGTTTATAGTGATTTCCACCACAACCTATAAAAACACATATTTGTTCATCTAACCAGCAACAGAAAACATGTGAAACTCAGAGAAATTACCGACATGTGCAACCTGTTAAAACTGCTTTGATGCATGTTTATGAAGGTTTGGGTGCGTTTGAATCTTTCCTTTTCCTTCTGGACTGTTCTCCCTGGAAGCAGAACCTTGCTGAATCACATTCGGCCTTTCTGGTGGGCAGATGGGCGCTCCGCTTCCCGGCTGAATGCTCAACAACATCTGAATCAGCTTTGTGAAGTTTGAGCTTGTGGTGAGCTGCTCCTCTCCAGAACAAAAGGAAAGCTGACGCCCAGATTTCAGCCTCACGAAAGTTTATCACATCCGTATGTTTCTGGAGTAAATATTGGAAAACGTTCTTCAGCTTTTCTGTCTTCATGTGTTCGGTTCGTCTTCTTCGCTCAGGTTCTCCCGGGAGCAACGATCCAGCTCCTTCTGGCACAATAAACATAAATCAATTATTCACATGACAAATTAAAACAAGCTCAATAATTTTTTGTTTTTTGTGCTTTGTTTTCAACAAGCCCTTTGTTTACAGACTTTATTATTCATTTTATTTTTTGTTGCTGTTGTTTAGTTTAGTTTATATTGGATATTTAAAATGTCTTCTTGTTCCAGTGCTAAATGTTCATGAAAATGCAAAGTTTAATAATATTTTAGAATGCATTCTTTCATCATTATGTCATTATGTTACTTGAAAATGATCTTAAAACAACAACAATATTATCATTTATCGCAGCAGCTACTGGGACAAAACTTGTCATTTTGACATTTTTAAAGTTTTTCTTGGTTTGATGGTAAATAGGATAAAACCTCTGAGATGAAACATTGTGAAAATAAATCTAGTATCAGATATTAGAAGAACCAGATGTAATATCCATGTTAGTGAAGCTTCAGAAAACTTCTTCTTTGGTGTTGGCATGGTTTATTTTTTTATGGATGAAGGAATTTCTAGACAGTTTTTAAAAACTATCACCAATGCCTCTGAATTTACTAAAGCTCCAAAATGTCACAGTTATGATAAAGTTTATATATAAGGAGCTATATAATGACACTGGAGGGAATCCTGCTGTTAAAAATGTACTTTCTGTTGCTTCTGTGATTTATTTAATATGTTCCTGGATTAGTAAATAACCAGCATTATGTGAATGAGCCTTGGAGGAAATAAACAGGTGTGTCTGATTCACCCAGAGGTCATTTAACTGAGTGATGTCATGGGAGGGAACGTCTCCTTTTCCTTTTCATCCCAGCAACTTGTGAAGTTTCCACAGTCCTTCCCGTCCCTGAACCATTACTCACTGTCACACAGAAAGCCCAAACGTAAAGGAAACCTTTCCGAACAGCTTTTAGACGAAGAATCAGTTCAGATCCGAATGATAAACCACTTTGGTTTTCATCTCCGGTTCCAGTTTGATGCATTCACACCAGCAATGTTTAGTTCGCTTTAACTAAACTCTTTCTTGAAAAAGGCGTGAAGTAACTCTGATGTGGACCCAAAAAGTCAAACTCTGGTTCACCAAGCAAAGCAGAGCAGGAACTGCTCCAAAAGCAGGAAGTGGACCACAGCGCAGGGCATTCTGGGTAAATACAACCAAAAACAAACATGCTAGTTTAGCGCTAGCAGGAGACCACAGACAAAAGAGAAAATGGTCACAAAACAAGAGTATTTTAGTCTATCGCCATAACTTCTGGGACATTTTATTGTCCAGCAGAATTTGTTGTGGCGACAGGCCAGTTTCCAGTATCATCACCAACA